GGGTTTTTGACAGAAGTGAGCGCTGTTGCGCGGTAGGAGTGAGAGCCGACATGATGTGTGGCAGGAGGGTGCTGCTAGGATGAGGGTATTGCAGGGTAGAGTAGGCAACCCTCCTCATTCCCGGAAACCCCGGACCCCAGTCTTTTGTCCAGGTGCTCGTGATCACATCTTCGAGATCTCCGAGATCATCAGATCAGTGCAGGCCCGCCTCTCTGGGTTTTCGTCTTGCTCACGTCTAGTGCAGTAAAGTGATTGTGCGGCCGCCATCTTCAATGAGCAGAGTCCGGGCCTTCATCGAGACCCCCCACGGCGAGAGGTTGGGTCGTTTGCAAAAACCCATTTCCGTAAAGAGCCATGGGGCGCCGACCCAAGAACCGGAAAATGGCTCCCCTAGTACGAGCTGAACACCCGCGATAACTGCACTCTGAACGGCATGCTGTGTGAGCGAGTGTTGGGTGCGCTTCTCGTTCGTGGCCAGTACCCATCGGTCCCTTTGGGGCGGGAGCGGATTTTATCCCTCTCGGTGCTGTCTCGGCGGGTCGCTAAATCTCAGCCTCCTGGGCACGGTGCTGCGAAGGTGTATGTGTCGGTCGGCGTGTGAGGTGAGGAACGGGACTAGTGAAAACCCCCATCGATTTTCAACCCCCTTTCAGGCGGCGCCTCGGCTTGTTTAAAATTCATCGATTTGCCTTTTGGGCTTTCAAACCTCTGGAATCCTGAGTTCTTTCGTGATGGAGGGTATAAAATCGCCCGGAAACAAGCTATGGGTTCAGGGCTAATTTTGGCCGGGGTTTCTGAGGATGTGTTTGTTTTATGAGCGTATGAGTCATCTCACCGCACACAGTTTGCAGTGATTGAATCAGGCGGCGTACCAATAAGTTTGCCCCGCCAGGTCTACGCATTCAGATCCATTTTTTTGCGTCAGCCTCAGAGTGAAATCAAGTGGAGCCGGGGGGGTTTTGAGGGTCGTAGGTGGTTTTGGATTAAACCCCTCTCTCCCACGGTTACCCTGCTATGCTGCCCTTTGCATCAACCCTTCGTCGTCGTTGGATCTGCTAGAGCTTGATGAGTGGTGGTTTGAGTGCCTTGCTCCCTCTTTTGTGCCCGAATCCCACCCACTTCTCAGGTTCTCATCGATCTTCATTATCGTAAATGTCTGGGGCTTGGAGAGAGTGTGTCAGTGACCTAGCTGCAGGTCGGCAGTAGGCGAGTTGGCTGGTAGAATCGTTGCGCAAACATTTTGCCTGCGCGAGTGTGTCTGCAGTAGGACCCTCAACCCGAGCCTTCCCATAATTCCCTATTCCCAGACCCTTCGACCGATCCTAGACGCCGCGCCGTGCCCTCTGAGTGAAGCCAAGTGACAGTTGTTTCCCAGTTCTGAGACTCATTGGGCCCGCCAGTTTTGCCGCTTTGCCGCAGCATGTTGAGGATGAGAGCGTCACTAGGTCAGTCAATCACCAGCTTGGTTGCAACGCGTTTGTGTTTGAGTGCTTGCGGTGATGAGTCAAGGGTTGTTGTGCATGAGTAAGAAAAAGGAATAGTGTTTAGGGAATTAACATCTCCCTCCTCGAATTCGATTATGGCCGCTCTTCCTGCGATAGCTGTGGGAGAGGTTCACGATGCTCGGGGTCCAGTAGATGCTCGAGTCAGAGTTCGATCGCTGAATCCACAGCGCAATACGTTCTGGCTGAGACAAGTGCTGATCGATTCGCCAGGCGGCTTTGTGGATTTGGACAGCATTCGGGGGGCTCAGCCCTTTCTTCAGGATCTCCTGGAAACTCAGCTCCCTTTCATGGTGAAGGTCGTCATGCACTACCAGCTGTCGGAGGAGATAGTGGATGCTGCTGGAGAGGTGCAAGTGGTCTACAGTGAACGCCGTACTGCAACTGTGCCTTCACTGGTGCGGCCGCTGGCCAACCCTGATGAAAGGCTGCGACGTTACGTCGTCTCGGTAGCCCAGAGGACCATTGAGGATCGCTTGGAGCACGCGAGGTTTTACAACAGCCTTCAAAAAATCGAAGGATTCCTGGACATCCAGATCTTCACCACACCGAGCAGGGAACTTGCTCAGCTACCCGCGGCTCCTGGAGGAAACTTTCAAGGTGGCTGTTGGAAGGAGCTTCCCTTGCTTCTGCAGAGGGGCAACAAAGGCCTCTGGTCTCCTAAGAACCATGACGCCATGTGCTTCCGCTACTGCGTGATGGGGCACATCTTGGGCTGCGCGGATTGGACCGTCGACTACCGAAAGAACGCCGCAAACCGCCTGGGAAGCCCTTTCTACGACCACCCTAGGGGTCGCCCCAGCAAGACCCGGCGTGACCTAGCTCCTGTTGATGTTTACGTGGACGGTGCCCTGGTGGACTTTGGGACACTGCCTGAGGATGCTCCGGTGATGTTTGACGACATTGACAAGTTCGAGGCGGCAAATGCTGGGCTCGTGGAGGTCTTTGTCTATCAGTGGTCAACGATTCCATGGCTGAACGATGACTTCCAGTACCTCTCGCCTGTGCGCTCCCCTTGCGTCGACGGCAAGGCTAAGCAGACGGTTTTGCTCCTACTTCACCAGGGCCACTATGTGCTGATCTACGACTTGAACAAAATCTCGAGCTCTCGCAGCCCTTTCTTGCCTGACTCCCAGATGGCTGACGCACATAATTCCTGGAACCGGTGTCACAGGTGCTTAGCCAACTTCAGGCGTCCTGAGACTCTCAGAAAGCACTTGGTCGAACGAGCTTGCTCACAGGAACCAGGCAAGCGACTGGTGTCGCCGATGCAAATGCCAAAAGCTGACAAGGCGCGACTCAACTACGAGGCCAAACCATCAGCGGCTATGCACCCCTGTGTGGTCTATGCGGACTTCGAGGTCTTTAGCCAAAGGGCACCAGAAGAACTCAAGGACCAGCGGGTTCTTGCCAAGCAGCAACGTGTTGCGTCCTTCGCCTACATGGCTGTGGGGCGCTCTGGATTCGAGGTGCCTCCCTACCACCGCATGAGGTTGCAGCGCGCCACCCACGACTCCGGCGAGTTCGGCGTCGTTGAGTTCTTCCTCCGTAGCCTCCTAGCCCTGGCCAAGGAATACCGACTTTGGCGCCGGTGGACAAACATACCTTGCCAGATGACCGCTGAGGAGCAGCGACGCTTCGACCAGGCCGAGGTTTGTGAGATCTGCGGAGGGGATTTCGGAGGAAAAAGAGGGTGTAAGGTGGCCCACCACGAGCACGGCACGGGTAAGTTTTCAAGCCGCGGCCTGCTGCCGTTGCAACCTGGGGGTGAGGATGCCTACCCACCTTCCGGTGTACTTCCACAATGGCTCCTCCTACGACTTCCACTACATCCTCCGCTTCTTGGCCTATGAGAAAGGACATCTCAACCACCAGGACTACTTGGAGCGGCTTGTGCGTGAGAGCTTCGGCGAGCACGAGGAAGGCGACTCCGAAGATGAAGACCTCGACGCATCCAGCCCCTTCCCGGAGAACGAGGACGAAGGCGCGGATCCCTGGACTTGCGGTCTTTCACAGCTGAAGTTCTCGGTTCTGATGAAGGGCGGGGAGAAATGCATGATGATGCGCTTGGGACCTCTTTGTTTTCTCGATTCCATGAACATCTTCCCCACAGGCCTTTCCAACCTCATCGAAGACTGCAAGGCGAGCTGCAAAGGAGGAGATCTTGCCGAGGCTTTTCCGCTTTTGGCCGAGAGGCACCCTCTTTTCGCGGAGGCTCAGAGCCTGGCTCTGAGCTTGCCCGAGTGGCGTAGCAAGGTGTGGCAGCTTTTGCTCAAGAAGATCCCCATGCCCTTTGACGTCATGTGTGGCCCTGATTGCTGGACTTGGCCCGCCCTGCTGGCCCAGGACGCCTACGACTCCATCCTCGAAGGCAAGGCGTGCTCGGACCAAAAGTATGCCGAGGTCAAAGAGGTCGTGGAGTTCCTCGGTCTCCAAACCTTCGGAGAGTTTCATGATGTTTACTTGAACACAGACATGACGCTGGGCGACGTGCTTGAGCACTACAGGGACGCCTTCTGGGAGCACTTCAAGCTCGACCCTTGTCAGTACATAACCCACGCGTCTGCAAGTCACGACGCGATGCTGCGAATGTGCTGTCCCCGCGAGGAGCTGAGCCTAGGTCTTATTA